GGTGCCGTGTCGATAAATTGCATGTAAAAATCGATTGCGCGCCAGTACACCAATCAAAGTTTAGCAGATTAACATAGTTAATATGCGGATGTTAATATGTATATCTCCACCGCGTTTACAGAACCTATCTATTCATTAAATATGCGTAGGTTCGATTTTCGTTAAAACAATGAATTACGTCTGGAACGCACCGTGATTTGTTGCTAGGCAACAAGTTTTTCTCCTAATTTATCTGGACATTTTTGACTTTGGGAAATAGCGATTTAGTTTCGGTAATAATTTAATTAACTAAAATTAAATCTATAAAGAGAAGGATTCGAAACTGATGGATGAAAACGAAAAGAACTGCAAATCGTGGTTGTAGTATTGTACGAGAAATGATACTGAAATGGTTGTTTGGTGCGTGTTGTCCACTTTTGTTCAATTGATTAAAAAAGAACAAACAATTTGAAACGCTTTTTCCCCATCGGAATAAACATGGAAAAAACTTAAATAGATTTATTAAAACTTAAAAATTGAACGTTTCCGTGCTAGAAACGACATCAGTTAACAATAATGGTGCATAAAAATATGTATATTTATTAATAACTGTATAATAATATATTTCAATTATTCAACATTACAAGCTGACAAAAATTTTCGATATCTTGGGCAATTACACGTGTCGTTGACAGAAATACAAACAAGATATGACAAAAGGCATAATAATGCTGACTATTAAAGGTGCTACGAATCATTATATTGTTTTCCGTCCTACAAAATTTTTGGAACAACAGCAATAAAAAGACAAGTAGATGTGCAGCATATATTATCACCTGAATAAGTAAAACTAATTGAAAACTGGGTAATAGATTTTTGACAGGGCTTATGAAAAATCCAAACTTCTTTTATTAAGAAGAGGGCATGAATCGGTGCAGTGCCTTTCTTATTTAATTTATTATCAAATTTATCTAAAACAACCAATTATTCTCCGATAAAGCATGCGAAAAGTGTCAATTTAAGACGACAGCTGCAGTACTTGAGTCACGGGTTTGGGAGTGATACATTTTAAAAATGGTATTTTAACTTTTGACAGTTTGGACGATCACGTCACACGTCACTTGGTGAATGTTTTGCAAAAATGTACCCAGAAACTAATAGCCGTTAAAAAGTTGATAAACTTTCTCCGTCATTCGTTTATTAGGCACTCGCGCTCAACTACGCTCCGCTCGTACCAAAACAAACTCGTGACTAAAATGGCCTTTATCAAACTTGTTGTAATACGATATTGTAGGATTAGATGGGAAACATCACAAAAGTGACAAAAACCTTTAACAGAGAATATTCTTTTATAAAAATAATTCAAAAACGAGAAAACAGAATTGATATTTGGTCATTTTTGAATGATGGATATCACAACAGAAATGGAGACAAAATGAATAACATTTTATGGCATTTTTAAATTCTACATTCACCTCAGATATAAGTATTAAATTTTTATTTTAAAAACGCAAAATTCAACTAAACGATAATTTTTAATTATAAAATATTCTGCAAAACAATAAGATATTTCCTCTGGATAACAAAAAATAATCCATATTTTGTTCAAAGTTATTGGCTATTTGGCTTATTGAACCAAAATTCAATTGCAAAATTGTAATATTTAATATTATTCTATAAGTAGTGTGCCAAATGTGCCAAAATGGTATGCAGTTAAAAGGAATGAAGCCAAAACTACCCAAAGCTAAAAAAACAGCTCAAGGAAAACTAGTTTTCCGTTAGTTTTGGTTAGCATTGACTCCTTTCAGGTGCAAATGGCTTACGTTTCACAGTTTTTAGATATTTTATTATGTAGGCTAAGTTGTAATTGTAGAACATATTCGGAAATGAAAAATACTTATTACCTTACCGCGAAATCACCTAACGTAACCCAATCAAACGAATGTCAGTTCTTCGTAATGCTGAAGTGAATAATGCGGTTTTCCCAGTACACTCGAGGTCGACAAACCATTTAAAATAGCAGCTGAATTCTGACTAGTACTTTAAACATATGTATTATATATGACGACAAAACAAATGTCTTTCATCTCAATTGGCAACTCATGAGAAATGAAAAATTTAATCTGGTAGGTACTCTTTCTAATACACAACTTCTATATATAACTATTATAATTGCTAAACTATAGCAATAGCAACGTCCCATTAGTTAGAACTTTTCTTGTGGTAGTGCTTTGCAGTGTCGTAAAATGGCAAGGCTACAAAATCGTAAACAACTCCCGAGTTGTCAGACAATACATGAAAATATTTATATTTGAGGAATCTGCGATTTGAGAAATTGAAAACTAATTATAAAAATTAAAACTAAAGACACCTAGTAAAGGTCAACAGCGCTCCGTCAAGACAATATTTTAAAATTTACAACATTAAAGTAGACGAAACACACATTTGTTTACGGTTTGCTGTAATTAGTTCGTATTGCCATTTTGTTGTTAACGCTTGTGTGATTCAAAGTCGAATTCAGGTGCAACACCACCTTTTTTAATTGTACTTTTTTTTACATTTTTTACATTTTTGCTTTATTGTCTTAATCCGTCTTAATCCAGAAAGGTCTTCTCGAGAATAATTTAATAAGTAAACATACCCAAACTGAAAATCAATGTCAGTTGAATTTAAAAAAACTGAAAAAGGAAAACATGAAGTTGATGTTGATTATCCAAAGACGAAAAGTGAAATTATTGACAAATTTAGTTTAAAAAAATCTCAATTTTTTTAACTCGCTAAACGACATATTTCTCTTATTTTAACAAACTGAATACCTACTACTAGCACAATGTAATATTAACTTTATACACAATTTGCTCAATTTCAATTAGGGCCAATAAATATCAATCATCAATTCCTCGATTATTTATTTGCTTTTTTGGATATTCTAGTCGAAAAATGTTTACCTTTTTTGTCAGGTCACCTACCTGAGTTTTTGCATATATTTAAAATTCTAATATAACCAAAAAAATGTTAAAAAATGTTCTTTAACATTAAGGGAAGTAGTGAGAATTTTACTTTACTAGTAATCCGCGACTTATATTTTCTAAACGTACAAATGTGGTATAAATTTGGTACTTACCGAAATATGGAATAAAGTCCCTGTAATGACACTGCAGCTCTATAATTGATTCAATATAATAAAATTTTTACTATTTATTTATTGACTTAACGATTATATTTAAATTTTAAAAGGAACTTTTCAGTACCGGCAACTTTGTATTGCGAGCAATGCCTAACCGCTTCGCGGGCTGCCTCAATACTGTTTTCCACTTTTTCACAGCTGATCTTCTAACTGTAAGGTAAGTCCGCCAACATGCGCGCTTCAAAATTCAATTCTTAAAACTTAGCGATGCTGCCGACATCTGTTGGTTTAAAGTAGTGATATGCTCGAAATTGGAATTAAACTTTAGAACCATTATCCGGAAGAAACACATGCCGATGACAATAAATTACTCGATTTTTTTTATTTATCAGGACGTACTTTTTATTTTAGTTCAAGTAAAGTTCATCCTCAATTATAATAAGTAGCCGATGAACCACCAGCCTGCTAAATATAAATAATCTAGCTCGTAAATTGCCCACATTTTGGACTGCAATTCTGAGGAATATTGCCGTAGTATATCCTTGGAATTTTTTTAAAAATCTTTCTGGAGTATTTTCATCAGATTTAGAAAGATTATTCATTAGTGCAGAGTTCATTAAGAAATATTAAAATATACTAAGTTCTGGCTTTAACTGGCTATCAGTTGCTTATTGGTATAGAGCAACTAAATATATAGAGGCCCTGCATATGCTGATAACACAGGAATTTTTAAAAAGTCACGAAAGCATATTGGACGAACGTTCCACCAATGTGCGCATGCGCGTTAAATTCAAATATTTTCGACCAATAACAGCAGTCATTTCGAAACAACCAATAAGCCGTAGAGACGTTCAACAACCATTATGGCCGCTGACAGTTTAGATGTAGCTGCAGTATTTTCTCAAAATATGTAGATCTTGTTAATTGGTCTGGGAAAAAAACGGGTTAAGTGTGTTAAGTTAGTGTGTAAAGATCCTTGTTAAGAAAGAAAATGTCACAAAAGAACGGTAAGATTTTTTTTACACAAAACGGTAAGTAATATATTTCATAAGTGTTTAAAACTTGATTGGATTACCTTCTTCAAAATGTTACCGTTATATAAATGCTTTAATTTGCGCCAAAATATACGAGGCAGTCCTCAGTCACATTGAGCAATTAGCTTAAAGTACTAAAATAAAGTACAATTCAATAGAAACAGGATTGATTTTCACAAGCACTTTTTTTTGCCAGTATCTAGATGGTAAAGATTTTTTTCTACTCCCTATAAAATATCTAATTACAGACCAATCTAGCGTGTTTGAAGAGTCACTTTACCGGGTCAGTTTCATTTTCTACGAATCCGAGTCACGTCAAATATTTCCGGAATTTTATCGCACGGGTTTGGGAGCAATCGGATGTTTTCGTATATATTTCCCCCACACTTTGAATTTTGACGGTCGAGTCAGTGAATGTACTCGTGATATTTTTCGAAAAGGTGCCCAAAAACTAACGGTCGTAGAAGAAGTATAGTAGACAACATGTTCGGTAAACTTTTTAAGTAACTCGTTTATTAAACACTCGCTCCGCTCGTGTCAAATACACTCGTGATTCACTTGTACTTGTATAATATACTATTTCTACAAGTGACCGCAGAGACTAGATACTTCTTGCACAATTTTTAATGTGGAGTCATGCTATTCCACACATTGTGATTTTTCTTATGTTTTATACTATTTTTTTGGTATTGTATATTGTATTAGAGAGAGGTAGAGCAAATCAGGGAAACGTGAAATAATATTTTCGCCTATTTAAAAAAAAAAAGCTTACCTGAACTGCCGTACCCGTCGAACAGGGAAACAACTTTGAGCAAAAGAAAACTATTTTTTCAAATTTATTATAAAATAATAGCATTTATTTACAAAGCTTTCTTAATTGGTTTCGGTGCAACGCTAACTTTTACAGGTTTACAAAGATCTAATAACGTAGGGTTAGCGTCGATACTCGACTTTCTTCTTCCTATATCAGCCTCTGGAACGCAAATGGCTACATTTATATCCACGTTACAAGCTTCCGACCACACCTGGTGCGAAATTAGCACAGATGTTAGTAGACGAATATTATGACCAATGCCAGATTCTAAAAATGTAGTGTTATTAGGAAAGACCCTGGTTCTAACTTTGTATTAAGTTACCTGAATTGCTGGTGTCATAATAGAGTGGTTTTAAATGAGCGGGTCTAGGTAAAATAATTTGTGTCCGCTGATCAGGGTATTTAATCTTTAATCTGATCCTATTGGGATCAATCAGGTACCTCAACTCAGCTTCAAAAGGAACTGACATGATCAACCCAGCAGTAAACTTTAAAGAAGTATCTGTTTGTCCGCTTGGTTCAAGTATGGTTACAGAACTCATTCGAATCTAGAAAAATCAAGTAATATAGCAACTGCTCCAATAAGCCAATTATTATTTGGTACATTAATGTTGGGTCTAGGTATTTTCCCTAATTTGGACTCCTGAAGAATTGGCGTTAAAATCCTAGCTACAGCACCAGGTTTTGGCTCCTCTAATTGTGACAGTTCTTTGAACACCATTGATGTGAAAGCATCAGGCTGCAAGTTTGCCTGGTTTAAATCTTTCTGCATCTCCTCCACTGCGATTAAAAAATGGTGGCAAGGAGCCAAAGCAGAGGCATTACTCCCTAAAAAATAAATACGAATTACGCTTAGTTCGCAATTACTCAGACAGCTAAGCTAACAAATCAAAATTTTAGAAATCTTCCAGTTGCTTAGTGAAGGGATTTTAGAGACCGGCAATAGCTACATTGTATGCAATTTCTTTCATATAACAAGCAATAATAACTACCCATATTTAATTTTTTTAATATTAATTAAAATTATTTGTTATAGGAATAATTTTTAATTACTTTTCCCTATCTTTTTAGGTGCTTTTGAAACCATATTGTAAATAATATAGCAATAATGCCAAACTATTAGGATTTCTTAAAACTTTTTGGCATATTGTAACTATTCTTGAATTCAACAGACCCCATTGATCTAACTGTTTCCGATATTTCCATGTTATTCGCCCTTTGCAAATATTCAATCGCTACTGAAATATGACACAATCTTTTGGGGTAAAAGCACTGATATAACTGTGCAATTTTGTACCATGCTTGGCCACTGAAAAAGACAGCCTTACCGGGAAAATTTCAGATAATTGAAGTCCTATTGCACTAGCGGGGAGTATATTATTTCTTTTCAAAAATATTGACACGTTGAGTATCCAGATCAATGCTTTTTGCATATTATAAATAAAGCAGTTAAATCTCTTGGCTTTTTTTGTCTAGTACAATTAAGTTCAGATGAGATCCATACTCGAATAAACCCCATAAATTTGGATCCACTAAGAGCCATACATATTGATCAAATTGAAAAAGCCCTATTAAAAAAGGGAAAAAACAAGCTATTATAGAATAAACAGTATAAAATATGTAAAAATTCAAAATAATCAAAAATTATATAGTACTGATTAGGTGCCTCCATCAGGTGCTTAGTGAGGTTCAGGTAGACCTTTTTAGCGTTAACAGTTAAAGGTTCTGCGTACTTTTTGACTTTGCATGTAATTACTTTTTTTTGTTTTGTAACATTTTTCTAAAGAATTAAAGAAGAAATACCCAATAATAAAATACAAAGAAACAGACCAGGAAACTAAATCTGCAGATGAAATAGAAAGATTTTTTTTAATTCAGACAGCTATAGTTACTTACCCTTAACTATAAACACCAAATTCAAAGCCAATACCCTGAGTCTAAACTGTTTAACAGCACACTGCTCCATATGACTTAGCCCAACAAAGAAGAACTGCAATTTTAGACAATACTCCAAGAGATTCTGTATGTTTGTTTTTAGGGTATTAAGCTGTTGTGTCGCCAGGGTTGCGGGGTTCACCCAGAATCCCCGGTCAAGTATCTGGGATATTTGTAGCTGTGCGCCGATATATAGGGCGGTAAACTGCGCGGTTCCGGAAACGCTTGAGTCCATGTCGCTCAAACGATTTAAATGTTCCATAGCGTTCTGGAGTAATGAGGAATGAACCCTGAAAGAATTTTGTCATACATAAGGAATGCCGAATATATCCCAATATATATATATATATATATATATATATATATATATATATATATATATATATATATATATATATATATATATATATATATATATATATATATATATATATATATATATATATATATATATATATATATATATATATATATATATATATATATATATATATATATATATATATATATATATATATATATATATAGGGCGTTTCATTAGTAATTCAGTCGCTCCTTACTCAGGTACAGTGTCTACATTGTTACAGCGTTTTGTTTTAAATAAAAATAACATGATTTTGATATCAAAATCCAAATAAACATAGAAAATAGATGTGCTAGGGATATATGTGTTTGTAGTTGTTTAAAAATATTTTACGTATATTCATTTTAATGGTTTGACTACTGAGTGATTAGCAATTTAGATTCATTGACAACGTCGAAACTAGGTTAAAAAACTGACCAAAACTCTGCAACTTTACATTTATTCAAATAAAATAAACTTTGGCCATCACAAAATTAAACACGCATCAAGTTTCACTATATAAATTGCTTAATAAAATCATTGATTATTGGATATATCTACAAAAATATACTCCCTGTAGTCTTTACTAACCCCAATGATTATTGCAATTTCAAAAAGCACAGGCCTTCAATTGCAAGTGTATAGAGATGAGGAATTTATTCAACAAATTATAATTCAAAGTGCCATTAAGTATAACCCCAATTTTGTGAAATATCAATTTAAAAGGAATGTTATTCAATTCACAACAATGAAAGGATGAAACATATGAAAAGTTTTTGAAATTCGTTATGGTCAAAATATTTTAAAGCCCACAACATTTTTTGAACATTTTTAACGTTTCTATATCTGAAGTTTCAAAAATTGCAATGGCCATTTTGCACACACTGCATATTGGATACTTTTTATCTAGTGGTTTTATTTGCATTCAGCTAATTAATACCACTAATTTGAAAGCTCTTACATATCTAATTGCAACTGCACTCATATTTAGCAATCAATTTTTTACGCCATACCTGGAGATATTTTCAGCCATGTCCAAATTGCTAATAATATTATTTAAAAAAGCAAGACTTTCAGGCACAGACAGCTGCTTAGCAATAACAGTGCCACTTGAGTCTGGCAAACTCAACTGTGGAACAAATTGAGGCATTGTATCCCTTAGATATGCGTAATGTCTTAGTGTGTGTGGCTCCAACAATGGAATTATTGTTAGAGAATGTTTTGCGGCATTGAGAATCAAAATAAGTAAACAAATATCTAAAAAAAAATATCACGCAATTTGAATCACTCAAAGAAAAGAATATTAGAAACTCACAGTGTGGATTTTCAACGTCGGGTTCTGCCATATCAAAAAACGGATGGATGTTTAAAAACTGTGGGACAAGTGGCAACACAAGGGCGGGATGTTTGGCTCCAATGCATTGTAAACATTTGTATGTAGATTTTCTGTCTTGGGGATACTTTTTGAGGTTATCTAATAATTTTTCGACACACATTTTCAAACCAGCTGTAGTTGACATTCGACACGCTGCCAACATTCTGTGCAGACCCTCCCGAACATCCTGAGAAAAGTCTTCCAAAGCCCCTAGAAGAAAATAGTTTCAATAGCTTTGGATTAAATTATTATTTGAAAATTTTACCCAAAATAGTCTCGAGCTGATCATCTCTCAAAATAATATGCTCAGAAATCATTCTTAAGCTATCGATAGCCTTCAACCTAACATCTTCTATTTCATCATTAAACATATCCACCATAAAATCGAGTGAGAGGTTTGCAAACTGGGGATTTACAATTGAAAGCTGACATAATGATTCTACTGCTGCGGATCTCACCTCTAAAATTCTAAATAAAGCAGTCAAAGTAACATAAGCTAGAATAAATAAGAACCTAAAAATTCATCTTCAAGTCCATGCACAAAAGCTCCACAAGATCCACTTGTAATTAAACTGATGCTCTCGGCATCTAGAACTTCTTTAGGAGCATCATCCGCCCATTTTTTTCCGCTTGCCCACTCACCACTTGTTACATTTTCCCAAGCTAATTCGTGTGCTGTTCTCTGAAACATTTTATTTAAAATATTTTAAGATTTTACACAAAAATACAGCAAATAAAAATTTCCATTTTCCAACATTTTCCCTTAAGGGAAGGGAGTTGACTGACTTAGACTATATTTATGCTTTACTTACTACACAGACTGCAATAATTAACATATTATAAAATCTATTGTTTTTGTTATTTCATTATTGATAGTAATAACTGACAATATTTATTAGTAGTTACTTGATAAATAAATGATCAAATGGTTAGTTCACATACAATTAGTTATAAAATACTCTATTCATAAAACTCACCTTCCTCCTCATATTAGACATTAATTTTTTGTCAAGGGTTTGCACCAAGAACTTGTCACTGACGAGTTTCATTGAACCAAGGAGTTTGGCTGCTAAAATTCGGACATGTATTGATAAATCAGTAACACCGTTACAAATTTTTCCAAACGCATCATCAATTAGTCTAATTTCATGATCGCTACCTTCTACCAAAATTTCACTAAAAAATAAAAAACAAAATTACTCTGCTACTTTTACATGGTTGGCTATTTACTTTTCCGGATAAATATTGCCCAAAATCCAAATTAGCTTGATCGCCATGCGCCTGACAATTTCATAATCATCTTTAAGAGCATCAGACACAAAACCATAAATTATTGGATTAATTTTGAAACCTCTATCATGTAGACATATTACTGTTCCAAAAGCTTGACTTCTGACCCGCGCATCATCATTATCGAAGTAAGAACTAATGAGATGCAACAAACCCTCAGAGTCTGACAATGAACATAAAGGAGTATGAACTCCTATTATTTCTAAACATCTGCACTTCACTGCATGATTTGCATCCTGCAAACAAAAATAAGTCAACTGTGTCGAAAGACTAAAATGTCAATTCTGTACCTTTAAATAATTTTTGGCAATATCAACCAGTTTCTGATGAAACACTATTGCTTGATCTGATACTAATTTACCCAGTTTTAATATTGCCGTCATCCCTTGAGCAATTACTTTATGTGAGTGATCATTTTTCAACAATAAAATTATTTCATCAATAATGGTTACACTTTCTGAAGGATTTTCATGTCCAATGTCACATAACAACATCAATATCTTTACCCTTACTACAGATTCCGGTTCATTCTTAAAGTATTCACTTAGTTTTTTAGTAATTTCAGGTATATCAGTCACTTCAAATTGATAGCCGTCACTAGCGCTGAGTAATAGCTTTAAAGCATCAATACTTTCTTTACATTCTTCCAAATGGCTTATAAGAGATAAAAGTGAATTTCCAAAACCCTGCAATGGTTTCTTAACAAGTTTTAGTTTCTTGATCGGTACAGGGGTTGACGAGTCCTACAAAATTAGCACCTACAAGTTACGGCCTTAGATAATATTTGAAAAAAGATACCTGGATGATAGTCTGACTGTATTCGGCTAGTGCTCTTTTTTTAAGAACGGCTGCCATTTTGGAAATATGCTGTTATTTCAACCATCAACTTTTCTGTTTAATAATACAGCAGTTTATTCAAGCTAATATTTTCGTCTAGGGTGTTCGTTTATTCATTTAGAATGTGGAGTATTGGTCAAGTGTTCTTCTTCTTGTGATTGTTTAGAGCCCTGTTCTCCTTCTCTATTTCTAGAAATCAACATCGCTGGGATGATTCGGCCAAGTTCCCTGGATACGTCTTCTCTAATGAGTCGATCTTTAACTTTGTGTTAATGGTTGTCTACAAAAAACCATTACAATATTGACAATGATTTATAAATAAACTATAACTTATGGGAACGAATGGGCAAGGTAGCGTCATTTACACCAAGATTTTTTCAAATAAACTAAAAGTTTAAAAAATATTATTTGTTAAAAAAAATGGAATTATTATCCGAAAGAATATGAAAAGCTACATTCTATGACCACATTGATTTAAAATCAATTGAAAGCATAAATAACGCGTTCATAATATCTTGACAGCAGCTGGTCATTTCACTTTTGATATCCTGTAATACCATGATTGAGATTTATCAAAAATTGTAAAATGACAGTACGTGCCATTTCTGTAGTTTGATTTTTTTTCTGCCTTGTTTTTTTGTCATCTAGGCAATCAGTTTTTAACTTTCTTTTATGGTAAACACGATAAATTAAATGTTACCGTTCGAAAAAAAGAATTTTTAGGTATTTTTTCATTTAAATTTTTAATGTTATTTTTTGATCACCCTATATTTATTTATGTTTAAAATATCAACATAGATCAATAAATTTCATTTACTTTGATGAATAAATCAAACCCGAATATATAGCAAATGCTTTCATTCGGAGAAATCGTTAAATACAGAGTGTTATTTTACTAACATAATGTAACGTAACTAGTGAATCCAGACCCCACCCTTATGTCGAAACGATATTTCGTTTGGTCCAAATCAGATAAAAAAAGGCTATTTGTCCCAACTTTATTCGGCCCAACAAGAAGACTGTGATCGCAAGCGGACATTTGACTGTCAGATGATCGGAACCTATTTTATAATACCACTGACCAACACTAACGGTTATGTATGTTGTTATTTTCCTTGGGTTATGTATCCATCTCAAACATCGCCAACATCGACGTCAGTAGTTTTTCATTCTACCCTTATTAACACATTACACCATACACAATGTAATGGTGTAAACTGTGTAAACTACCACTATAACAAAAGAACTATTAAGTAAGAGTGGGGAACATACTAAATTACAAGAATAATAGTATATTATGCAACAAGTCCGGTAAACGGCATTTGATAACCGAGTGAGTTAAAAAGTTTACCGAACGTATTGCATACTATTTCTACGACCGTTAGTTTTTGGGTACATTTTCGCAAAACCACACGAATACAATTATTTGCATGACCGTCAGAATTGACAAACGTCAAGATTCAAGGCGTGGGAAATATCTCCGAAAACATCCGATTGCTTCCAAATCCGTCCCGGAAATGTCCGAAGTGGCTCAGATTCGTGGGAAACGAAACTGACGTGTAAAGTGACGATTGCCGTACGCTAGGTCGGTGTGTAATTAGGTATTTTACAGACGGGAGTAGAAAATTAGTATATTAAGAAATACACCTGACCTAAGCTTCTGTTTAAAACTATTGTTAGGTAGCTAGTGGAGAAGTATAGTTTAATTTTATTTCTTGGAACGATAATTTAGCGCCATCTATCTCCAAAAGGGCGAATCATCGGGTTAAGGGAAAACAGTGACCTGCAGCAAGACAGCGCCATCTGACAGCATTAAGTTTAGTCCATGGTTTAAATTATGGTTTGTGGCCGTAGGTCTGTAAAAGACACGAACCAGGGATAGATAGACATTCTGTGCTCGACGTTAAGAACATGGACGTTGTAATATTGGTTATTAACAATTAAAAAATAATAACATGATAGTTGCCTGTTGTGTTATATCTGAATACACCCAATATTCTGATTCCAATCGAAATTTCAGACAATGTAATGTAATTAGTGCAATATAAAATCATGAACTGGAAGTTTTCGTAGCTGGTAAATTACGATTACATGTTGAACTGGAGTGCGGAATGATTAACTAATGAAACTGTGACTTACTGAAAGAGTTTATAGAAGATGTATCCTTTTTTGAAAAAAGTGAATTCTCATTAGTTAGTGAGGAAGTAAGGACCTTTTGCGCTGTTGAAAAAAATGGTTGCACAGATGAGCCACTTTCTTTTGTAATTTCTATTGATGAAGCTATTGGCGAATAATTGGACCGTTGATTGGTTTCATATTTCAAGGGTTAATACGACTTTGAGATACATTCATAAATTATATGATGCTATTTCAATAAAATCTTGTATATTTCAACCGGCAAACATAATTATTGACATAAAATTGAAAACATCTTAGAAACGGTAAGAGCAATATGTGAAATTACTAAAAAGTTCGATGTTCTGTTTCAAATAAGTAAGTTGTCGCTTATCGACGAAAACATTGTACATATATAACAACATATTAATTTTAATTTTGAGGAATTGAATTCACCTTTTGAGTTTGCACTTTTCACATTACAAAATTAATTTCCAAGTTGCAGCTACAAATTTTAGTGAACGAATGTGCGATATTTTTAAAAACTTTATTGGTCACAAAACATAATAGGTATAATAAAAAATGTTATAAAATGTAAATATTATATGAATCTAGTATAAAGATATTCGGATAAAATCAATAATACAATAATAAAGAAAATTATAAAATCTGATAAAACTATACATAACGCAAAAAGTTGACAATCTATGGCGGTATATGGAGTACAATACGGAAGGTGTAAAGTCGTTTGTTGTAATTGCGTACACGTATTATTCAGAGGATGTAATAAGATGTATACGTGTAATAGCAACAATAGCAACACACATCTATCGAAGAACACATTTAGAAAACTTGGCAGTTACCGCAGTCACATGCGAGACGAATCAAATATTTGAATGAGATCCAGAGATAAAATAAAAAATCCCTATACCATGGCAATTTGTCATTACTATAATCCGTTACAGAAGTAAACAAATGCTGCTTTTAATCTAGTGGTATTAGTAAAAAGTAGTATTTTAAATGTATCGGGGAAACAACAACTTGTGAAGAGCTAGGTCCTTATAAATATTTATAAAAATAAACAACAAATCGGCATGCGGTATAAAAGTACAAAAATACAAAATTTCAACAAGCTCGCAACTCAACAACAAGGTTTTATATATATAGCATAATACACAGTTTTATAAATATAAATATAAATTTACATGTAGTGAGTATTCGAAGGTAAAAAGGTCATTTAATGCCTATAATATTATGGTAAACTGAAACTACACTAATTTAAGAAGAAATTAAAATATCCATTTAATTATAAATAAGAGTTAAAGATTAGGTACTTAAATTTAATGTAAAAGACGGTACGGTACTAAATACATTAATTGTAATATCATCCGAATTCGTTGTCTCTTCTCTGCTTCCTATACAAAAAACTTATTCATAAATCCAGGGTAGAATAATACTTTTAATATTAGGAAATAAACTTAAAATACATTAACATTACTGTTAGTCCACCCTGTTTGCATAACAAAACTACGAAAAACCTTTTAAATCGCTACAAAAAAATAAATAAACTTACTAATATTACGATGTAAATAATAATACAGAAATGGCAAGAAAAAAATTTAGGCAGATTTTCAACTTACTTATCCTTTTATCATAATTTCATATTCAAAAATCACAGCACATTATTATACAAAAAAAAAACTACGAAATAAGAGAAAACATTTGAGTAGGAACAAAACATCGTTTTGATTACATTTGAGTATTGTTTATCTCTTATTGCTCGAACTATGTATATCAATTTTTCTAATAAGATTTGCTGGAATGTTAGGTGTTTTTGTCATATAGAGAATATCACGTTATAAGAAATTCACAACCGTTTAAATGTAGCTAAATCTGCAGCATTCGAGAGCGTCCCACATATTATTTTCACAAAAGAACCACATTTCCCAATTGCAAGTTCAAAGTTATAATTAGATGTCTTTTTAGTGAAATAAATGTTTACAGAATTTCTACGGCAATATTTTCTCATTCGCAGATACAAATAGTGTTAAAAAACAGCCCTCGTTTCGAAGTAAACATTATGAAATTAACTTTTTTTGTCATTGAGTACCATTGTGCTAATTAGAAGTTAAAGACTACAAATTTAGGTTTGCATAAGGATGAAAACTATCTGACATAGCGAAATTTTACCATTTATATCGTCATTGGGAAAAGTGTTTTCTAAAATTCGTACTATTTAAAAAACACATACATAGAAATGCTTGATAAAGCGGTTGACATAAGACGTATTGGTCTCACATTTATTAACATACATTAGTGTACCGCAAAATGAACCTTGTTAATGGTCTATGACAACTTTGTTCTGTTCATTTCTTTCTAACTTAAAGTTAAACGATATAAACAAATACCCATTAAGTTTCCTTTAGAAATTCGAATTTAAGGCAAAGTGCAATCGTGTTGATTGTGAATTTCTGATTTTGGTTAGTAATGTATTCTTCGAATAAAGACTGCAATTTTTGATGTACGTTAATCATTTGCTACACGTTTACTAATTATCACAGATTCCTCTTCTTCCTTTAAAACACATTTCTGTTTGTAATTTTGAGCAGAAGACGTATTTCTACATGGTTCACAAAATGCCTGACCGTAAAAAATTACCTTTTGTTCTTGTCTAGCACTAAATACTGCTAAAACGTTCCTAAATTTCGTGTATTATTATCCTTGTCCATAGGACAAAACAAACCTCTAATACCTATACAGATAGGTACACTTCATTTTTGAAAAAAATTTTGACCACGCGCCAAAATAAACCCAAAACATGGTCCCTAACATTCCACCAACAGCCCGAAAACGAGCTACCTCGATTTTGTCTTTGATGTGGAAACATTACCAGCTGCAGCAGCGTTCTTTTGCGCGATATGCGTCTGATAATGCTTAGCTAAATGCGCTTTCTGCCTAAATGTTTTCCCACATAAGCTGCACGCAAATGGTTTTTCTCCCGTGTGCGTTCGTATGTGTACATTCACTGAGTACTTGTCTTTAAACCCTTTCGAACATATGCTACAGTAGTGCAGTGATCTCTCCTTCCTCACTCCGTTGCTGGTTGAAGTGGCGTTTTGGATCGTAGTTTGGGACTTGTTTCCGCTGTTCGATCTTTTGTACTTTTTGGTAGGCTTCGTACTAGTCACGACCGGCGTTGTTATTTGGATCGGCGATGCTATATTGTACAGAATACCGATCTGTTCTGTATTTATGCTGGCCTGGACCGTACTCTCCGTCGAGCTGGTGTCTAAACAATATTGATTTACGGATTCCGCTACTTCGTTGGCTATCCGTTTTAATTTTTCGAAGTCTTCTGGGAACGGATGATCCAGCTGACTCAGAATAATGTCGTCCATGTTATGCGTGCTCGACGGGTTTTCTGGTGTCGACTCTATCGTTCTACCGCTGATTTGTTCCTCGAACACGACTTTCCCATTGGCATCGATACCCGCCACAATCGTAGGTATGTGCTCCGGTTCATCCTTGTTAATGTACACGGCTTCAGTTTTGGTAGGCGATGACAAAACTCTGCGCAACTCGACATTCGTTTCGACGACTTTGTTGGTTTTGGCGCCGCCATTGTAACGCACGAACGCTTTACCCTGTAAAGCGCTGCGTAGTAGAGAATCGGCGGAACCGTTTTGAGTGTTATTATTAGTCAGCTTCCAGTCGTTATTGTTGTTGTTGAAACTATCGTGCGCTTCTAAAAGCGGTGTATCGATGATGAGCGAATTCGCCAGTTCTTCTTTGTTGTCGGCAAATCCACTGTCCTCGTAGGTGTAAGTTTCCGATTTTATCAGGCCGTCAGTATTCGGACTCATCGTTGCATCACTATAGTTTCCGCTAAAGTTGCTAATCTGTCCCGGAATTATATTCAGTATCGAATCTATGTCTAGACCTCCTTGCAAATGTTCCATTGAACTCGGACTCGATATCGATACCTCTTCTTCCTTAATAGAAAGAGGCTGCCGATACCACGTGGCGCTTTGGTCCAAACCGTTCAGCACCGTGAGCGTATATATTTGACCATCAGTGTTGTTATTGTTGTTATTGCTACTGCTTTGCTGTTTAATCTGCACCACACCGTTTATTTCATCGTTGGACCAACAGTATTTGTTCAAGTCTTCTAAAATGGCAGTTTCCAATCGAACGGTGTCCTTTTCGCTCCAAAGGTTGGCGTCGAAGTTCGTGATGGTATTGTCTGAGGTAGTGGTGGGTATTTCAGAGATCAACATGCTGTTGTTATTGGTCTCTTTGTTCTCCTCCGAGGTGCCGTTTCCTAGGAACGCGTTGACGTTTCGCATTTGCTTCGAGTACTGTTGTATCGATTGGACGTCGTCGGAGTCGGGAGTTACGACGAAATCGAAGAAATCCGTTTTGGAAATGTCTTGCTCGTTGCTAGCAAATGATTCTGTTACATCCATTATCACAGGTTCTTTAAGCTCCATAAATTTGATTTATTGCTTTTGGATCGTACGGTTCTATTCCATCCCAATTTCTTTGTTGCATTAATCTGAAAGAAAAAGGCATGTATTAGTTCATTGTTCTAATGAATGAAGAAAAATATAGTTATGATCTTACTTTTCCGTAAGACGTGATATCAAATATAATGTAAGATTCAGAATACAGTGATCCTAAAGCGGAAATTCTATTTACCAGTGTTCAAGCAGTCACACTGAACACTCGACCTTACCAAACAAAACAAAAATATGTATCGTTCTTAAATTAATTAGTTCATAGTTCACAAGAACGAAATTAGGATCCGAAAACCGAAGCAGCTTTTCAAACTACTACGTATGCCTATTATGCTAACAAAATTGGAAATTATTTTCTAGCAACACAAGAAAGACTTTTTGACAATGAATTTTATTTTAGGGATTTTCCTTTGTTTTGTTTGTCCCTGTTGTTTTCTTTGTAACAGGTTAGTAGATCTAGTGTCTGTGAGCTGGTCTGGACTTATTCCAGTCTATACGTTTGCAGTACTCTGGACCTCTCCGTATATTATAAAATTAAATGAAAAAAACATTGTCTACAATATATGTTATATGTTGCGTATTGTCTGTTTTCCCTACCTGGTGCTATTTTTATTTTAATTGATTGAATCGTCACTAGTTATCTATTATTTGATAAGCGCCGTCAATCATTTTCAATGCCTACTTATTTAGAGAAGCTGGTCTCGTGATAATATTGATCCAATTGACGATTTTTACGATATGTTAAACGTTTTTTTTTTCGTTTTTTTTTTAATTTGGCAACGTCATTTGTAATGATAATTTTGCTTCAGCTAGATTTAGATTGTGAAGTTCAGTGCCGTGCCTAATGAATATTTTGCAGTTTTTGTTATTCGTTTGAATGAGCCGATAAAAGTTTTTTTTTTTTTTTGAGTTGTTTTCATTGTTGTTTTCGAACAAAAAATATAAAAATATAAATGATGATACCCTAAAAATGTATTGAAATGAAAATGAAAATGTATTGATAATGTAAGTAATATATATATATATAAGTTTTCTGCTAATTTATTATATGGTCGCTTATTAATTTGTTAGGTTCTTATTCCGTTATTCGTCAAACATGGAGTTGATAATTTTAAAAGAAAAAAAAACTTTCGAATAAATTTTATGTCTTCAAAAATTACTATCTATATCAAATAAATATACTAGACTATTAAATAAGAATCATTTGCCCTATCATAAAAGAATAGATTATTGATAACCAGTAAAATAATAGTGTTAAAAATATAAATTGAAACCATTAAACTCTGCATAAAATATTGCTTGGCAAATGTTTCCATATCAACAAAGTTTTCCATAACATAAATTTTTTAAAAAAATGCACATTTTCGGCAACAGGTTTTAACCCCCAAAAAGTTGCAAGAATACATTGTTTATTAACATCTCGATTAAGATTTTGAAACATATTTAATACATATTTCTTATATTTGATATTATTATTTTTTTTATTCCAAAAAAATATAAAACTGCAGCATCCCAAGATTTACAATTTAAGAAATATTATTTGTTAGTGACTAGAAAGAAATTAATTCAAATGGAACTTTCAAAACCCCGTACAATTAATATGTAAATGGTTCATCTAAAATTCGGATCAAACGCATTGCGAAAAATGTATTAAAATGCCGTTCTATATATTCAAGCGCGTATTTTTAAAAAATTAAATTAACATTCCTTGTCCAATTAAATTGTTTTCTGGGTCATATCAACTAAAAAAAAACTAATTCATCTTCTTAAATCAAACAACGGGCGAGCGATACATGATGATGGAGTAAATCGATTCGAGGCACTTAACTAAAACAGAAAACTCTCTTCTAAATTGAAAGTTAATAATGTTATTTCTGTAAAATAACATCGGCCGGTCAAAAAAGTGACATACATTCCTGTTAGAACTGATCGCTTAATGGATGTTAGCCAGTGGCGGCGGCTAATTTGATAACCTGACTATGGATGGCAATTTTCATTTCAATTCTTTTTCTCAATAGTTTTGTGCTCTTCGTACAAAAATAAAAACCAATAAAATAGTGTTAGCAGATTGGAAGTAAAAAATTAAATAAGCAAATAATAACAAAGTATAATTTCGAACACGAATTTTTGTGAGTAAACTTTTAAGAAAACTGGAAATGAAAGGTCAAGACCAAAAATTCTTGAAGCCAATTATTATCAGTGTTATGTCGTTATCTCAATCTCAAACTACGCACTAGATTGCTTAGGGGTTTCGACTTTCCTATACTTCTGCATCGCGTAGAGGCGTTGAGTCTTTGACTGAGGCTGCACTGAAAGATTTAGGAGCATCTGACATTTGCTCATATACAGAGATCCGTAGAATATATAAAAGAAAAGAATTGGTTAAGACTAAAAAATAATATGCGACATCTAGAAAAGTGTGCGATTCTACATCTCATAATAGAGGGAAAGTTTTAAGGAGCGACTGGATAGTATTTTTACGTTCGTTAGTCTGGCGGTCACCTTTCACGCATTTAAATTTTTTTTCGATGTTGTTTTGTTAACAATTTAACATTAGACGTTTTGCATATAAGATTTGGCAAACGGAAGTACAGAAAATTGTATAACGTCTTGATTAATTGCGATGTAAAATCTCCCTACATAATATGTACAAAATTAGTGTTTTATATAATGTACGGTCTTAGAGCTATAGAGAGAACTTTAAATATTGTTAGTCTACAAGATCTAGTTTATTACAAGCTTGGAGTATCACAAATATCAAGATTAATGCTAACCATCTGGATTGTAAAATAAGGATCTAACGACTACGGCACTGATTCTGGTGCATGTCAGAGAGTATGTTCTGTTATGTTCTCCGTACTTTACATCTCACAACTTAACATAGCGGACCACGCACAACTTGTACTATACAAAGGAAAAGTGAAATCACTATTAATCATGATCTGGAGATAATAATTAGCTTGCGTAACTCTGATCTTGATAAATCAGTAATTACGAATTATTTTTTTCTCTATCGGATACGGCGGCCTCATTTTTTAACTAACAGATTTTGTGTTTCAATTACTTACGCCTGAACGATACGAATTCCACCCAGTATGTAATTATGTCGCGTACTTACAGGGTTGAAACCCTTTTAAAATTCAATATAGTATTTGTTTACTGTGGTATCATGTGAAATTTGTTGTTGTTTTTAAAAAATAGAAAAGAAAATGTTGGGGATTCATCTTTGCCACTGACTTTTGCAGTTTATAAACTAGTCAAGTAAGAGGGGGCACAATAACCGTAATCGTGTTAAGGAAAACATGTCGGTATTTAAAGGGGGTTGTTGAGTTATTCTTGAGGCCATTTTAGATAAGATTTAAGTTGATCCAGAAACGCTTCCTTGTAATATTATTAATTTTCTAGTGTTCTGGTAGTTTTTAATATATCGATTTAAAATTTGTTTGTCTTATAGCAAAGTTTTATATCTATGAGAAATTCGGGGTTTTTAAAAAATAGATATGAAAAACTAATCAACATGTAACATAAAAATATAGGGCAAAGCAAGCGACAGAATTGGTAGAATTCTTTAGGAAAAATGAAGGCAATAACAAAACAAACACCCTGTATTGTTTAAACAACGCAACACTTCAGATTCCATATCTATACACACTTTTTTTTCTTAGAATATCGTCAACAATCACCCTCTTTCAATTATGACTTGTTTTTTTTTTAAACATCCCGTATAATATCTCCAATATTCCATCGCTTAGAACATGCCTATTATTGTTGTTCATGGAATAATTGAAATTTAAACATTCCACGTTAGATTTTCTGTTATGAAACCATTAAATTATCAATTTTTACGAATAAGTCAAAACACGCCGCTTCCATATAAGTTAATTTGTCTAATCGGCGCAGTTGCATTTATTTCAATTTTAATTGCTCGATACTTATCGCCATACATGATAAGAATCTCGATCGGGTTACATCTATTTATCCGTAAATCGTCTATCTAATTCGCTTTAATTAGGTGTGTGGCTCGTAAGTATTGCGAACAGCACGACTCTTCACAAATATCAGTCGGACATTTTTGTTGCGCCGTGTAATCGACATTCTTTTCTGTGTCAACAATGTATTTGCTTTAAATATTTAAATAGGCATCAGTGACGGCAGATGCTTTTGACTTCTTCGGTAGGACAAACACTACGACAAGTTAAATTTGTACAGTGAATCGAAGCAAACATAATATTGGGAGATATTATTTTGTTTATCTTTCTTGCAATATTTTTTGTCTCGCAATACGCATGTTACCATATTTTTTGGGCAACATGACAGCATGAAGGCCTCTTAAATCGCCTTTGGAAAGAGTAAAAGTATTTACACCTCTTCCCGAAAATACTCTATCTGCCATAGAAATTGCCGGGTATTTGCTTGGTTATATATTTACATTTTGTCGTTGGATTGCCTGCATCAAGTGTAGTAAATGATAACATTTTTGACCCAGTTTACAATTATCCAATTTTTATTTAATATTTCAAAAAAATCTCTCTCTCTCTCTCTCTCTCTCTCTCTCTATATATATATATATATATATATATATATATATATATATATATATATATATATATATATATATATTCTCACGTATTGATTCACGGATGGAAAAATGATGATGACACTATATTCCGGGATATCATCCGTTCGCTCGTTGAACTCCGACTGGAATCCTGCATCCGACTGGAATCCTGCAAATCTTGCATCCGACTGGAATCCTGCAGACGTTTCGCCAAAATCTCACTTGGCATCTTCAATGCTCGCGCTCCGAAAACACTTCGAACACTGTGTGTGTTCGAAGTGTTTTCGGAGCGCGAGCATTGAAGATGCCAAGTGAGATTTTGGCGAAACGTCTGCAGGATTCCAGTCGGATGCAAGATTTGCAGGATTCCAGTCGGATGCAGGATTCCAGTCGGAGTTCAACGAGCGAACGGATGATATCCCGGAATATAGTGTCATCATATATATATATATATATATATATATATATATATATATATAT